GCTCCTTAGGTGAAAAAAACCGCTAATGCTTAAATACTCACACTGTTCAATTTTAATGTGCCGCGCTGAAAAAGACCGCTAATGCCCAAATTACTCAGACTGTTCAATTTTAATACGCCGCGCTGAAAAAGAGCGCTAATTCCTAAATACTCAAACACTTCAATTTTAATATGCCGTGCTGAAAAAGACGGCTAATGCCTAAATACTCAAACACTAGTAAAGTAAAGTTACAGCCTATATACGTCCCACTGCTGGGCATAGGCCCCCCTCATTTCTGAGAGGGTTTTAAGGCAAGGAAGTGTCCGCCGCGCAGCCTTAATGCGTGTTGGCAAACTTCACATGTCTTCGAAATATATTTTTTTCTTATTCCTCGGACATGCAGGTTTCCTCACGATGTTTTCCTTCACCGCCGAGCACGTGGTAAATCAGCACTTAAAATTGCAATTAACAATTTCATTGGTGCCGGCGGGGATCGAACCCGGGTTACTCGCGTTCTGTTATATTTACAGCGAGCATTAACCATCTGAGCTACCACGGCTCTCTCAAACACTGTTACTCAAACACTGTTCAATTTTAATATGGCGCGCTGAAAAAGACCGCTAATGCCTAAATACTCAAACACTGTTAAATTTTAATATGACGCGCTGAAAAAGACCGCTAAATACTCAAACACTGTTCAATTTTAATATGCCGCACTGAAAAATACATCTAATGCCTAAATACTCAAACACTGTTAAATTTTAATATGCCGCGCTGAAAAAGACCGCTAATGCCTAAATACTCAAACACTGTTCAATTTTAATATGCCGCACTGAAAAAGACAGCTAATGCCTCAATACTCCAACACTGTTAAATTTTAATATGCCGCGCTGAAAAAGACCGCTAATGCCTAAATACTCAAACACTGTTCAATTTTAATATGCCGCACTGAAAAAGACAGCTAATGCCTCAATACTCAAACACTGTTAAATTTTAATATGCCGCAGTGAAAAAGACAGCTAATGCCTCAATACTCAAACACTGTTAAATTTTAATATGCCGCGCTGAAAAAGACCGCTAATACCTAAATACTCAAACACTGTTCAATTTTAATATGCCGCGCTGTTAAGTCTCGTGCTATCTTCTATCACTTTAAATCAAAATGACTACGACACCACGAGACTTAACGGCGCCATAAAATTAAGTAGCGATTGAGTATTTAGGGATAAGAGAAGAAGCGGTGAACGGGGGGCGCAGACCGAAGCGCCCCCCCCCCCCCTTTCCCCAAAGCTTCCGATACGGCAATGGCCTTACCAGGTCAAAGCTAGTCTCAGGTGGTGTTTAGTGGGTAAGCACTCTAGGCTTTACAGTGAGTCGCACATAACCACGCAGCCGGTTGCGTGGTCTGCTTAGAGCATTCACCACATCTTTTCCCCACTTCCCAGAGCGTAGCCCTTTACTTTTGCTTCTCGACGCAAAAAAAGCTGTGAGCGACGGAGTGTGCCTCGCGAAACACGTGTCTGGTGGTGTGTCTTTCCTAGTTAATTAAATTTTAACAATTGTAAAAAAAATCTTGACATTTTGGCGACAGGCAGCACAGTTAAATGTGAAAGACGTCTGGTAGTACAATTGTCAATATGCCTACCAATAGTGATAATTAAGGCAAATCATCTCTACAATGGGAGATAACCATGTACAGCAGTAGAATTTTACGGGCTGATGAAGTAGAAAAATAAATAATAAATACATCAGAAAAAAAAATTGTGTACCAAGTGCATCTTTATTGTTTATATTAGTTGTAGTTACATCTGGGTAAATTGTAGAATTTACCCTTTACATATTTCTACTACCAAGCAGATTTGTCTACTGTTATGTTCCAGTTTTAAGGGTATGGGAGAGCTAGTATAAACATGCTGAGGCAATCCTAAGGGATGATAATGCATCTTTAGAATTTTGCTTGAAATTAGTTGGCAGGTATCATTTCATTCATATTGGCAGGGCTACAGCCACTTAACATTAAGTGGATTTTTAAATCAATTATTGTTGCAAAAAGGCTGGAACTGTAGTCTATAATCTATATCATCATTATAATCATTATCATTGGGTGCGTTTGGCAGAAAAAAGCGCTAGCAAGCGCTTACAAGCGCTGAAATAGTTTTCGGCCAGGACACGATTGCTACTTCAGTAGCGCTGACACAATCCGCCATTTTGCTTATTTCATTGTTTGTTTTGAAGTAAATTTTATGTTTTTTTTTGTGCAATATTAGTTTTAAGTAATATAATGACATGAATAGACATATAGATGTCATTAAAAATTCATGATTGGTAAGTTTTTAATATGAATACTTTACAAATATATATTTAAATTAGGTTAGGTTCCACGGTTAAAACTGACTTCGTGTCCTAGAGGAAAATAGCTACTTACGATTTGACAGCGCTTACCGCTTACGATCGCCATTTTGCTTACAAGCGCTTGCTAGCGCTTTTTTCTGCCAAACGCACCCATTGTTACAGCTCTTCACAAGTCCACTGACTTTCTTCCAGTCATGCCGTTATACTTGGTAAGATTTAAATATAAAAGTGACTGAATGTTGATGACAAGGTGGCGATTTTTCTTCAATTGTCTTTTTTACCCCCACATGGTAGACCCTAAAAATATCTATTCTTAATGCCAGACTCATATCCCAGATGGTTGATAAAGAGCAGAATGACCAGGTCAAAAGCATTGTTACTCTACTAACCAACTCCTACCAATATGGTGAGTAGGGGTAAAAAAGTTTCAAGCTATTCATGTGTTTACTAGGTGGTAGATTCTATTCTACTCAGGAGTCCGTCTAGGTAAGTATCCACTCTCTTCCTTATTTCTGCCAACAGGCAACATTGGCCTGCATTGGTATGTTCCGGCCTGATGGGTATAGAGAACCAGTAGAATTACAGGATGTGAAACATCCCATCTCAGACCTTAGAGGTGACAACGCATCTATAGCCTCTTTATTTCAAATTGGTAACAGGACTGTAACTATGTTTGACATGTCAAATTTATAAAAAAAATCAGTTGGCACTTTATTAATAAAGTAAAAATAAGAACTTTTTACACTAATAAGGACTCTGGTTCACATTGTTAACTATATTATAATAAAGTATTTTGAAGATATTTCACTTTAGTTAATACTTGTAATACCACAAACAATTATTAGAACTATTAGACCAAGTTCCCATATATATGAGAACTTAATTTTACACCATACATGCCACTCTCTCTTGTAATAATGACAGAATTAATTTAATTAAAAAGAAAACATTACTAATTTAAGTGCATCTTAAATACCAATGAACAAACATGCTGAGAACAATTATTTGAAGACCATACAAATACTTGTTCCTCATGAACTCATGGCCCTCAGCACTACTACCTAATGCTTAGCCACACAACCATCAAGCCATCTATGTTATTGTTTAGCAGTTTCTGTAAGCCAATTTTTAAAAACACTAGCAGCAACCGTTACCATTGCAGTCTATTAAAGTCCACTGTTGAAATAGGCCTCCCCCACAAATTGCCTCATAGGGAGGATAGTTACAATAGTTGCAAAACTTGGCAGGCGGGTTTGCAACTGCAATGTTTGTTTTATTGTCAAAATGAGCTGATGCCCATCTCATAAATTGTTTCCCTCTGTCAACTCTTACAATAACCATGGGATGATATAATGTAACGGATATTCTTACACCTCCAAAACATATAACATATATATATTGAAAAAACTGAAGCTCATAGGGTTATTTAAATGCTTTCATATCATAACATGCAGAGATTTTATGTGAAATCAAAAACTGATAAAATAATGTTTTCTGATGATTACCTCATAAAATATAAGAGATAAAAGTTTAGAATAAAACTTTTTTGCTGTGTATTTTTATCTCCAAAAGTTTTAATACAAAATTATTCATAAATTTTTTTAATGAAATACCATTTTACATCAAACCTTAAATATTGACTGATATGGTGATAGGACTTTCGTTATAGCAATATCATCTTAGCAAATGTATAGATTCAAGAATTTTTAAAAAGATATGTGTAGGCTGAAAATGTGTATAAATCAATAAAATAAAAAATCTTATTGATATCAAGAGTATTTTGTACAACTGAAATAAACAATAAGCATATGATATTAAGAGAGAATTAAGATGTTATTTTGAAATAACCTCTTAATTCACCTAATATAAAAGTTTAAGATTTGTTTTATCCTATGAAATACTTTAATCTGATGATTGAAAAATCAATGTTATCTTGTTAAGGTAATATGTTCACAGTGTATGCTTTTTGGTGAAAAGGAATATTTGTCGCGTAATAAAAGCATCTGACAATAATATGTTATAAAACCAGTTGTAGATACTCAATCAAAGACTAACTTGTGATACATGATACCTAAATTTCAATTGATAATATTATTTTATATTTTGTAATTTTCATTATAAAGATAGATTACATATATTCAAAACTTGTTATATTCTTTTTGTTAATAAATAGCAATATTTATTTAACCAAAGAACAGAGAGCAATTTGTAAATCATTGTGTACCGGCACATGCGTTGTTTGTAAACAAATAACATATGACGTCGCGACGGAACATATAAGTTTAAATTTTCTACTTTCCGTGTGAATTTTTCAACAAATCACAATGTTAAACCTCTTTAAATGATAAATAACGTCAAGGAAACAGCATCGCATAGAACTAAATGAACCTCTGAAAGATCGAATTGACGAACATGTGCATATAGCGCGCCAAATTATGACAGATACTTAAAAACACGTGTTGAAATACAACTTGCAAATTCTGGATTAAATACATTTTTTATCCCGACCAAATGACGAAAAAACGTATAGGCAGTTCAAATAATGATTTATTCGCAAAAATAATAAACTCCAAAAAATAACGCCCCTAGCGGTAAGATCACGAAACAAACATAATGGCCGACATACAGTAGTCGAGGAGACTTGACACCCAAATGCGCAAAATACTTACACTTTCTTCCTCTTTTTCCATTCCAGAGGGCATTTGTGGTACGGCACGATTAATCGCTGAGTAATCCGGTAAATCCGGAAGCTCCTCAGCGAGATATATGGGCATTGGTTTCGACGCATCCAGGGCCCTCGCCCTAAACGAGAGCTTCGACATTTTGTTGACAGAACAAAACACGCTAGCGTCGACACAAAAATGCACTGATAAATCACTTTATAGCTTCCCCAAGAGGTCCTAAAGGACCGAAAATTGCACTTTGAACACTCTAGTTCGTTCCCATGGTTAATTTTTGCACGCACTCAGTCACAATTAATGAAAAACAATAACGAAACTTTACATATTAGGCGTTCTTTGCAGAAAGCCATCATGGCGGCTTTCCGTTTGTCGGACGACCATGACCAACTTCCACCGTGCACGATGTGCGCGGGAAGGAAACACGCGGAAACAATTCCACAAATTTTACTACTTTTAAAATTATTTGGAATTATAACGAAAAGACCTAGTATAGGTTACTAATATTTAATTATGAATAATTTAACTGAATAAATTTTGATTTATTTTTTGTACACGGAAGGATTTTATAAATAACAAAGTAGTGATATGACAGCGGACATTCGTTGCGTAGCATAGACTAACATATTGTTTCGGCCGAACGTTCCTTTACACATTTATGTTTTGCTTATAGATAATTTAATACAATTTATTAAATATTAAAATATTAGGGAATCGTAAAAATTGACGTTAATATAATTATAAATTATTGCACAATGAACATTATTACCAGTTCTTATGATGATAGGAGTATTGATTTTTTTACTATTGATTCGCGTACATGACCCCCAAGAGTAGGTATTTCGTATGCAAGACAGTATGTTTTTTCATTTTAGTGATGTTCTACAGGTATAACCTTGCGGTAGAGAGTAATGTTATTTTAGGAGTCTAACTTGTGTCAAATGGCTTTTCGTATTTTGAACACAGGCATAATCAGGGCCTTTGTAGTTAGAACATTTTTCTGTTCTATAGAAACTGGCATTGCAACTCTCCAAAGGACGGCGCGGGAGTAAGTTTACGTTCGGAAGTGCGTTGTTTTAGTTAATTAAATCAAATTAAATGATCGTATCACATTGACTAAATCGACGTGTTAAATATGTAAATTTAGATATTTTCACCAGAAAATGAGTTAAACAACTAATTTTATTAAGATTTAGCTGCTTTAAGTCTAGTTTATTCGTTTAATTGGAAGATGGAACATTGGTGTTTTAATTTCTAAACGTGACCACTCTCTACCACCATTTTGTTTGTTTTTGACAAAAACTTTTTGTATTTGACATTAGCTTGCTACATATTTATTTATCTATGGGTGCGTTTGGCAGAAAAAAGCGCTAGCAAGCGCTTATAAGCGCTAAAATAGTTTTCGGCCAGGACACGATTGCTACTTCAGTAGCGCTGACACAATCCGCCATTTTGCTTATTTAATTTGTTTGTTTTGAAGTAGAGTTTATAAGTTGTTTTGTGCAATATTAGTTTTAAGTAATATAATGACATGAATAAACATATACATGCTATTAAAAACTCATGATTGGTAAGTTTTTAATACGAATACTTTACAAACATATATTTAAATTAGGTTAGATTCCCCGGTTAAAACTAACAACGTGTCCTGGAGGAAAATAGCTACTTACGATTTGACAGCGCTTACCGCTTACGATCGCCATTTTGATTACAAGCGCTTGCTAGCGCTTTTTTCTGCCAAACGCACCCTATGATTTGACATTGGCATTGGCGTTTTGTTTTTCTGACGTAACGATTGTGCTTTGATCTTTGAATGTTTTGAATTTTTGATATTTTTCCTATATTTTCTTACGACTTGGCTATTCTTGGACTTCGATTATCTTTGCTTAATATAGTGGCCCATGCACGTGAAAGGGACTTCGATTATCTTTCCTTCGGACATAGTTCGTATAGTTTAGTGATGGCCGCGGATAAAATTTGTTGTGTTTCGGGATGTACTAAGAGCTGTGAGTAAATCTAATTATTTACAGGTCTTCCTATTCTATATATAATTCAGTGTCACCTTGGGCAACAATGTGATACCTAGTGCAGACGCAGGTAGCCCAAGAGTTCTGCATCACTTTTCCACCCTTAGAGCCAATACCTTGCTATGTGTACTTATAACACTACTACTTATACTACTGTCATTACACTTTTCAAAAACGCTTCTAAAATATAAATTTTTTTTTTGTAGGTGAAGATGGCTTTATACTTCACAAATTTTCAAATTATACAAAAGATCCAACACGCTTTTGTACACGGGTTCAAGCAGTTGGTGGAAACTTTCTGTGCTTAGATGTTATGTATGTGTATAAATACCGAAGAATTTGTCATACACCTTTTGAATCCAAGTACTGGACCGGAGTAAAATGTTTAATAATATTGCAATACCAGCATTGCATATGAAAGGTTAGTAAAAATTTGCATTAACATTGTAATGACCTATTCTTAATATTATGAATGTTAAAGTTAATATGGAAGTTTGTTCCTCAAATAATTAATTTTACTATCAAACATGAATAATTGAATGTATAAATTTTGAATAATTCTTAAACTATGTTCTGCAATACTAATTTTCAACTTCCATGTTGACAAAATATTATGTATGACATGCAAAGCAATTTTATAGAAAGTTTGTTATTTCTTATTAACAGTTTGATTCAAATGACAATAAAAAGCTTATAAATTAAGGCTTGTTTAAAGCTCATATGAATATCAAGTTCTACACCAGTTTATAAATATTAAACTTGCTCAGAGTACAACAGGGAAGAAACGTGAGTTTATGTTGTAATAACAAATATATAGTGATCTAAAGATCTTTTCCAGTACTAATGAGAATATATATTGCACCAACATACTATATTGTAGAATATGTTTAATTATTTTTTAATCATATTGTCCTTTAGTATCTATTTAAAGTTATGATGATCTTCAATTTGATATCCCGTTCTTTCATTTCATTTAATCTTAGAATATCATATTTAAAGTTTAGATGCCCAAATTTGTGCAGTGTTCATTTGCTTAAGAACAAAAAAGTTAGTATTTCATTTGGTCTTAATACCAAACTTAATTAATCACAAGAGAAGTTACTTGATTTGTCTTTGTAAAATTCGACATTGCTGTAAGATCCATAATTTACATTATAGTATGCATATTTTTCACAGGTGTTCTATTGTACAACTAATACTAATAATAAACTTCTATTTTAATAAAATGGAATGTGTAACTTTTAGCTTCATTTTTATTTGTTTTATTTTGTTATGCTACTTGTGGTATTTATTGTTTGAAATTGTCTATTGGAAGATGTTGGTAGTCCTTCAGTCTTAGTCGTTCAAATTCTACATGGCTAATATGTGTACGCTGTAATTTTTGCTGATTGGTAGTAGAGGAATTAATCTTTGCAATTAATAAACCCAAGCAGGTTAGAATTTTTATTAGAGCCGTCAGTTCACATTTCTCTTTGTACTATTGTTGTCAATATATTTCAAGTACAATATAATCATTCATTGTATATATTGATTTTACAGGTGCTGTTGCTAAGATATCACCCTTAGCTGAAGTTACCAATAACAATAATACTCTTAAAACATGTTATACACAAGAAATTGCTTCAACATCAAGTTGTGTCCAAGAGACAACTACTGCTCTAACATCCAGTAAGTTAAAATTGATTTTATTGTATAAATTAAATTGAGGATAATATATTGTAAATTAATTTTATTTAATAAAAAGTCCCACTGGGTTTTGTGCTGGGCGGGGGGAAGGGAGGTGGAGAGGGATAGATTCTCCCCCCACCTCTCCCCAAAATGCTTTTTTATTAAAGATCAAAATTTTATAAAATAATTTATAAGAAAAATCACCTTAATAGGTAGTCGGGGAGGGGGCGTGATCCCTCTTCACCGAAGCAATACCGAACTTTAGTTGATAGAGCCCCAGTTATTTCTGGGTGATTTATGAAAAAATAACCACAAATCTTTCTAACTAAACCTATCTGAGTTGGTGTGCCCCAAGTCCCGAGCTTGCTTTGCTCGCTCTTGTACCAAATAAAACACCAAAATATTAACTTTAATAATTACTTGAATAAGTACACATATTTTATCACTTTTGCCATTATATTTCATCATGTTTCGCTTACACAAGTACTCCACTATTGCATTACTAAAATATACAATATCTTGAAAACTGTTAAGTTTCGTGTAAGGTGTTTCATAGTCGAAAAAGTCGGTAATGACGCAAACTACAACCCCCTAAATGATCTAAGTCGACTTAACCTGTAACCCTATCATATTGTATATTACAATATTTATCTACTATGTTCCAAATTATGATTGAAAATGCAATCAACTTGCTACAATTAAATTTATTTTTACTAAATTATAGTACAAATTTTCTAGGTCTATATAAATATAATGTTTTGTTATTTCAATTTCAGGCTTGAAGGTGACTAAGCCCAAAAGGACTCAAATTAGTACAAGAATTACAATGTTAAAAAAAGAAACTTAAAAGCTTGAATATAGCAAATGAGAAATAAGAAAGTATGAAGAAAGAACAAAAAGACTGAAGAAGAAAATGAATCTATTAGAAAATATTACTTTCTTGAAAGTATTTAAAAGTTTTACCTCAATGGAAACAGTTTTTACGATGCTACAATTTCGAGAATGTGGTAAACACAAAAGGGACAGACAATTCACACCTGATGAAAAAGTGATGGCATTACATTTTTTTAACATGGGCCAAGAGCCTACAGGATGCTGCAAAAGATATTTGTTCTGCCATCACCTTTCACCTTAAGCAGGATGGTATCTAAGGCCAATATTAAGCCTGGTATAAATGGAAACATATATTACCAGCTTAAGAAGCAAGCATCTATCTTAAATGAAAGCTAATGATAAATTGTGTACACTGGTTTTTGATGAAATGGCCTTAACACCACATATTGGTTATACAGGAAAAGTGACAGGATTACTGGTTTAGTTGACAATGGTGATGTAGTGAGGACTGAAATTAGAATAGAGGTATTCTAAAAACTATAAACAGCCGATATCATATTGATTTTGTGCTTGCAGTACAAAAAAAGCTGAATTAGCCTTAATGATTTAGAGAAA